GAGAAACAGAGAAACCTCTCTGGCTAAATGTGATTTTTAGATATTTTCTTCTCTTTCAGTCCACACAGTCCAGGTCTTCCTGCAGTCAAATTTAGTCAAAACAGGCCATGCATTTGTTGGAACTATTAACAAATCTGTGAATGTCACTCTCTGTGTCTTTGCCTTTTCCCCCTCATTTTTTGACATCTGTTTGTTTAGGTGGGGGTGTATTCAAGGGGGCTGGGCCAGAACTAATGCAGGAAGTGATTTTGTTCACATTTTCTCTTCTCTCAAATTCTCTTCCTTTCTTTCTCGAAACTGCAGGGTTCTCCAACTTCAACAGCAGCAAGGTAAGCACTGTAAATCTGTAAAACTGCTCAGAAACTCACAAATTATACATGCATAACCCTCAAGACTAGGCTGTGCCAAAACTGTTCTGCCAAATTCATTTTAGAGCAAAGTAACTTAAAGCAGAGAGAACTTTAAGCAAGAGAGACACTCCCAAAGCTCCACACCTTAGTCCTTTGGCTCACATCTAGCTTATTTCTTAAAGTAAATGTGCACTCAAGGGGTTGCATTTGAAAATGTGTTTGTTTAGAAATGCTGCTCATTAACGTTTTAAACAAAGGTTAGTTAAATATTTTGCACATCTTGATCTTGACTCTGAATTTTTAAAATAAGGAACTTGGTGAGCATCTAAAATGAAATGCATTTACAGAAATAGCTTGTGTTTTCTTGTACACTAAACAAACCCTCCATTGAGTGATTGTTATATGATAACACTTTGATTGCAGTTCTTTTTAAGAAAAAAATATGTTTATGGCTCCACCCTTGTCTCTTGCAATTTATCTGTTCACGATCTACTTGCATGTCTCCAATGAAAGATATAGGCTATAACAGATTATTTATCAGTTTGCCTTATCAATTTTTTCATCTCACTTTGCTTATTTAACTGCTTTATCATCAATTTTTGATTTCTCTGTTATGTAATAACGCTGACCGGTCATTGGCAGGGTTTTTTTTTGTTTTGTTTTTTATGTGCCACTCGGCCAAGCTCATATTGTTAGCCTACATTTTAGTAAGAATTATTAGAGATTTGTGTTAAAATAAAAAATTTGTTGGATGAGTCACAAAATATGTTTTCAAAATTAGTTAACAATAGTTAAAAAATTAAATTGTAAGTTAATAACTGTCTTGACTTGGTAATGGTTTTGCATATGGTTCTACCATTGGTTCATAGTTTCTGGAAACTATAATTTTTGGTCGACATTAACTGGTCATTCGCATTTGTTTTGTAATTTATGAGCCACTAGGCCAAGCTCCTATTGTCAGCCTACAATTCATCAAAAATAATTAGAGCGCTTTTAATACAAAGAAACGTATAGAATTTCAGCGAATTAATTGGATGAGCCACAAAAATGGTGTCAAAACGAATAAATGATCATTAAATTAATAACTGTCTTGACTTATACAGTAGTTTTGCGTACGGTTCTACCACTGGTTCATAGCCTCTGAAAATTTGAACTTTTTGTTTTAGAAACAAAAGCCATGTTTTAAAGTGTTTCCTCCATCGACTCCCTCTGACGAGTGGAGGAAAGATGGATGGTGCCTTGCCGTAATTATCAAGCTAGTGTTTAGCGTTTGTCAGGCAACCCGACTCTCCTCGCTGTGGGCCATACTCGGCAGGGCCGCTCGGATTATTCCCCCGTGTCCAGTTACTGGACACATATAAGCTAACCAGGGCAGGTAAACTCACACACACTGGAACAGGCAGAATGGAGCTGGACTCAGAAAGCATGCCGGAGCAGGCCGATGGGGTTTTACAGTTAAGTGGACAAGTGTGTTTCGTAGCTTTGAGTGCACTCTTTACTTATCATGGGAGACTACGAGCTTCTGTTGTCATCACTGTCTTCACATTATGCGCATGGGCCCTCATTCCACTATCCTGCGCTGTACCTGTATGTCTGTCATATTTCATATTGTTCTATAGTAGATGGCATACTATTATTTTCAGTGCAGCAACAATCTTGTGTCCCCACATTGGTGACCACTGTTTAAAATTTAAAGTGAAAGTGTGTATTCTTTTCAGTGCTAAAATGCTAAAATCTTTGTATACATAGAGACAACTACCAGTAAACCATTTGTAGGTTGATTTACAGTAGAAGTGTAACACTGAAGCTGTTTGCTTCACTCCCAGCTCACAATAGTGACACTCAGTCAACCAATGGTGTGGCAGAGGGGGCAGCATTATTTGTTTGTTGACCAATGGAAAACAGGAGGAGTGTTTAGGAAACATGTCTGAAAACCAACAACAGCATATCTCTCTATAGTAAATGAAAAGCAGTGCGTTAAATTACTATGCCCGAATTAGTAGTATTCATACAACACTAGGCTGAAGTGCGCATTTAATAGACAACTTTGCACTGGCAGCTTGGTGGATGTAGTACATCTGGATTACATTCATACTAAACACATACATACATTATATAACATATTTTTAACAGTCACAAATTAGTTATACTTAAATCTAGGGCTGCACGATAAATCGCATGGGATATTTAACGCACATCTTATCAGTAAAGCCGGTTCTGTATTCAGCGGTAAATCTCCATCACGTGCGTGCTTTCACATTGAGCAGCATTAACTACACAGAGCCGTTGTTCACTGACGAGCTGCGCAAAAAATCGCGTGAATATGAACGTGGTTTTGCGCAGCTCGTCAGTGAACAACGGCTCTGTGTAGTTAATGCTGCTCAATGTGAAAGCACGCACGTGATGGAGATTTACCGCTGAATACAGAACCGGTTTTCTGACAAGCTGCGCGTTAAATATCGCATGCGATTTATCGTGCAGCCCTACTTGAATCGTAGTACCTACCCTGAAGCTGCGTCCGAATTTGCATGCTGTCTGAATAGGTAGGCCTACTACATTTGTTAAGAACTTCACGATTGCTAAAAAGTAGTTCTATGTTTGTGTGTAGTATGAATGAAATCCGGACATACTACATCCACCTTGTTGTCATTGCCATGTCACTTATGGATGTCAGTTGCGTTGCTTCACTGCTATTCACAAATCTTCTAATGTGGCCTCATGGGATTGTAAAGTCTCCATTGGATGCGCACTTCAGAATCTCGCTGGAAGTAGTAAATCATCCGGGTACTTTTCGCCTGCTGTTTTATAAATACTATGAATTTAGACATACTACTCTTTTCGAGTACTGTTTTTCGCCTACTAAATAGTAGGGAATATTCGGACAAGGTGACAGTATGCAATTTCGAACACAACATTATTTTTGAAATTCCACTTGGTGGTGCTAAAAGCACAGAAATTACACATGTCACCGTTAATGAATATTTCCCTTTCTTATATTATTTTAGTGCTGTCAAACGATTAATAGCGATTAATCTCATTCAAAATAAAGTTTTTATTTACATAATATATGTGTGTGTGTACTGTGTATATTTATTATGTATATATAAATACACACACATGCATGTATATATTTAAGAAAAATATGTTTTGTTTTTATATAAAATATTTCTATTTATATATAACGTAAATTATATATGTATATGTAAATATTTTTAAAATATATGCATGTATGTTTGTGTATTTATATATACATAATAAATATACACAGTACACACATATTATGTAAATAAAAACGTTATTTTGAATGCGATTAATTGTTTGACAGCACTAATTATTTTATATTACATCTTATTTTATTTAATATTTTTCATATAATAGCGGTTATGATTTGAGTTAATTACGCGGATTCTGAATGGTAATGACCACGGAAAGGGATCATTAGTTCCATGTCTGCAATTTTGTTCATGAATGGGTGTTGCATCCTGTTTCAAATCAGACAGTAAAGTGGATCTGGCCCTTGTAATCCTCAGTTATTATTATTTTTGAAGATTTTTGTGTCAGGGTGTGTGCCAGCTTGCATGTTCTTTGCCCTGTGGGTTTGCATGACTCACTGTAGTTGTGCCTGTCATACACACTTTTGACCACTTTGCTTAAACTGAGACACTTTCACATCTGCTTACATGAGAAGCCAGTATTAGTTCCTGTTTTACATCTTGCTGTAGTGTGAGGGTGGGGTGTTAAAGCGCTCCGTGAAGTGGAGCTGTTAGAACACTGAGGTCAAGACAACATGTCTTTGTTTGTTCATGACATGGAGGGCACATATAACTTCTGTCTAATCAGATTAATTGCTTAATGTATGGCTCTCACACGAGCAGGTTAACCAAACTCTCTACGTGCTCTACTACACTTCATCATATGATCATTTTGAAAAGGTTTTGATGATGTTTCATGACTGAAACCGTCTAGGTCACAACTCATTACATCCTCTATCTTCTCTAGAAATGACAGTTGCTAACTGACTAAATTTTAAAGGGGTCATATGATGCTTTTTTAAAGATCATTATTTTGTGTATTTGGTGTAACAGAATATGTTGACATGCTTTAATGTTCAAAAAGCATATATTTTTCAAATACTGTACATTATTGTAGGTCTATGCCCCGCCTCTCTCAAACGCTTCGTTTTCTACAAAGTCCCTCCTTCCCAAGCGCAGTCTGCTCTGATTGGCCAGCTGACCCAGTGCATTGTGATTGGCCGAACACCGCAAGCACTCGTCGGAAATGTAACGTCACTTTCATCTGTGCTGCCTGAAAGACACAGGATAGGCACTCAGTATTTAGGGTAACATTATTTAATACTTTTAATAATAATGTCATATGTACAGTAACTAAATATGAATTTATTTAATTAAAAACAAATTTATTATGATTTTTTTTTTATGATTATGTTGATGGTTTTAAAGGGACAGAAGATGTGGCTTAAAAACACATGAGCACCTCAACATTGATTTAACATGCCGATAACTTCAAGAGTATTTATTAATTCATTATTTATTTTATTTATTTATTTATGTTTGTTTGTTACTTTTAAAGTTTGACAGATATGGTCACTATGGACAGACATGGTCACTATACTGTTGTTTTATGGAAAAAAATTATGCACAAAGAGTCTTCAGAATACTTTCGTCTTGAGACTCTTTTATTTAAATAAATAAATATTTTTGTTACATTTGAAGCTTGAAAGACATGGTCATTATGAATGTTGTTTTATGAAGATTCTTTAAAATCTTTTATGTTTTGCAGAAATATGTTTTTTTTTTTTTAGAAATATCCATATTTAATATTCAGTATTGGACATTTTATCAAAACTAACAAGAAGACTACACAAACACTAGTACCGATGTATCATTGTATCATAATTGTAAAATACACAGCAAGTTAAAAGAAAGAAATGAAGTCCTGACCTGTCAGGATTAGTCAGTCATGATTCATTCTCATCATGTAGCAGGGTATGGGGTCTGAAAGACAACAGAGAGACAATAGCCTCTGAGTTAAATGATAAGCTTGATCAGACAGTCGAGTGGGCCTTACCCAGTCAGAGTGAGCACACAGAAAGATGGGATTGAACGGCTGATGCACATGAGAGAGGGATTTTTCCCAAGGGAAAAAGGCATGGGCGGGTATTTTCATAGCCCATTAATGTTTCAGCAGGCCCGTGACAGGACCTCAGTTAGGTCTATTGTCTTATGGTGTATCCGGTGCTTTAGGTAACACAAAGCTGGATGTCAGCATGATGAGCCATCTTCTCCCATGCCTTCTTGTTAGCCATGCCTCATCCATAAACACCCTCATCTCTTCTTTACTCAGAATACCTGGTCTCAGTTCCTAACCCCACCATATCATTCATTCATGAACCTTCTACATGTACCACCATGTTCTGAACATCCACAGACCTCTTAAAGTTTGATGGTGTACCTAGTGCCATGCGTTATTTTTTGGCTCTGCCACAAACCAGGGCTGCTTAATTAAAGGGATAGTTCATCCAAAAAAAAACAATTCTGTCATTTACTCACCCTCAAGTTGTTCCAAGCTTGTATGAGTTTCTTTCTTTTGTTAAGCACAAAAGAAGATATTCTGAAGAATGTTGGTAACCAAACAGTTGACGGTAGCCATTGACTTCCATAATATGGAAAAAAAATACTATGGAAGTCGATGGCTACCGTCAACTGTTTGGTTACATTATACCTATATTTTTCAGAATATCTTTTGTGCTCAACAGAAGAAACTTGGAACAACTTGAGTGTGAGTAAATTATGACAGAATTTTCATCTTGGGGTGAACTATCTATTTAAGGTAAAAACCAAAATCTTGATTATTTAATAATTATTATTGAGATCATGGTTGTTTTACAGTTACTTTGTAAAATTTGGGCACATCATGCTTTTATTGAATTAAAGAACACTTGAACCTAAAGTATACTTGTGTTGAAAAACAAATACAAACAATGTTAAATAAATAAATAAATATTCACAATTAGACTCTGGAAACATTGTCTTTTAAAATCATATTTCCTTAAAACTTAAGTATAATTCAACTGAAAAACAAATTTAAAAAAAGCTTAAAAATCATTATGGGTGCACAATCAAATACATGATAATATAAATCAAAATAAAAAATTTGATCAAAATAAAATCACTTCAAAATCAAAAAGGCACTTCCATAACCTACTGAAAACTACTAAACATTTAGGAAGGGGCAAAAGCTCACCACTGTAAAGGAGAGGGTGGTGCTTGGTTTAACATGAGACAGAACAAGAGCACCATTGCGAAACCGAATGCAGCACAATAATCGTTGTATATTGATTATCTTTTCATCATAATCGTTGAAAGCCAAAATCGTGATCGAAAATAAAATTTGGTTAATCGCCCAGAACTACCACAAACTGCTTTTCATTTAGGTCAAACAGCACAGCGTTTGGTTTATCAGACCAAAAAACTGTTGCTCAAAGTCTAATTGTGCAGATAGAGGAAGTGGTTGCGTTGGAGGCATCTCACACAGGGCTGAACTGTGCAATATTGCATGAGTGTTAACACACACATCGTTTCCAGGGGCAACCATGCTGACGGAATGATTTAGCTGTTATGCCTCATTGCTTTCTCTTATCTGTTTTCGCTGACTTTTTTACTGGCATGTAAAAGAGGATGTTTGTAAACTGAATTATGTATGTGAATTCCATATTATGTTGAAAAGGTTGAATATATATTCATGTTCTCTCTTCTTCTTTCTCCTTTTTAGGAGAAAAATCGTCTCGTGATGAACAGGTAGCTTGTGCCATGTTGGCTACACAGCTGGATAACTTCCTGGGTGGAGATCCGGTCCAGCACAGGCAGGTTCAAGGCTACGAGTCCCCAGAGTTCATGAACCTCTTCCCCCGAGGTGTCAGCTATAAGGTGAGATATGAGATAATGTTAACACACACAACCACACAGGAAAAAAGGTACGAAGCTGCCACTGGAGTGGTACCCTAAAGTAAAAAATCTACATCTTTCTACCTTACTTACCCTTAAAAGGTACAAAATACTAACTTAAAGGTACATAGTACCTAAAGTGTACATAATAGCCTACGTACCGTTTGAAAGGGTACTGCTCCAATGACAGTTTTATAACTTTTTTTTCTGAGAGAGCACATATATACAAACAGACTTGAAATCAAAATAAACTGATTGTTACAGTTATACTGTATGCATAATTAAATGAAAAGCGTTTATGTTCTTTGCAAAGTCACACTCTTTTGTTTCTACAGGAGGGAGGTGTGGAGTCTGGCTTCAGAAGAACACAGTCTGGATCTGGACCCGTTCAGAGGTTATACCAAATCAAAGGGAAGCGTAACATCAGAGCCAAAGAAGTGGGTTTGAGCTGGCAGAGCTTTAACAAAGGGGACTGCTTCATACTCGACCTGGGCGAGGTGTGTGTATTTGTGTATGTCTATTGACTATATACGTCGTACACTTCCATTCAAAAGTTTGGAGTCAGTAACATTTTTTTTTTTTAAAGAAATTAATACTTTTATTAGGCAAGAATGCATTAAATTGATCAAAAGTGACAGTAAAGACATTTATAATGCTCTAAAATGTTTCAAATAAATACTGATAATTTGAATTTCCAATAAAACAGTTTAATTGTAATAATATTTCAAACCATGTAGCTTTTATTTGAAATGAATATCTAAATCTTTTTATTCTGCAGACGATTGTGTCATGGATAGGATCTCAGGCAAACATCTTTGAGAAGCAGAAGGTGAGGGAGATCGCCGCTCTGATCAGAGACACAGAGCGACACGGCAAAGCCCAGATCACTAACATCAGTGAGGGAGAGGAGACACAGGAAATGCTACAGGTAACAACATGCCAGTGTATTTTGGCAAAAAAAAAAACATTGTTGAACTCTGCCCTTCTGTGATTCTTTAGCTTTACACTTCTCTAGAATCCCACACTGTAAAAAATTATTGTGATTTTAACAGTAAAAGACTGTAAAAATGCTACAGTAAAAACCTGTTAACTGGTTAACAGTAAGTTTCCATACTATATACGGTGAGCCGGTATTTTACCGTAAATGTCACAGATTTTTTTTTTTACAGTGCAGTTCAGTCCCCGGTTGTCTGAAATCACCTGTCACAGTTTCCTTGTCTAAAAACTCCCTCAGTACCCATAAGGATACAACAAATTGTGCTAAAGTACATTCACCGGGTGCTGTAATGCAACCTAAAATGTCACGATTCTAACCTCTATCTCCATACTGAAATCTCAGGCCAGACAGTGATTAATCGTTTCTGAATTATTTAAATATTGGTGGCCGGAGACTAGTGTACACTGAGTTTTTAAAAGCTTAGCTTAAAAGTGTGCTATAAATATATAATGCTCATAAAGGCTGTTGAAATGAAGAGGTATGGACCCGGAAGCAGTGTCAGGTTAAGAAGGTTAAGTTTGTGGGTGTTGATTTGTTTATTTTTTATTTGCACTCAAATTAAAGCAAAAAATCTTTTCTGTCTTCTGTTACAAAAAAAAAAAGGTTCTTGGTCCAGTGCCAGAGCTGAAAGAAAGCACTCCAGAGGAGGACAGCCAAGCAGATGCATCCAATATTGCCTCCCTCTACAAGGTACCACAACCCACAATTAACCTTGTATTTATTCACCTAAATTGTGGAAAGTCCATAGGACTATATGTGTGTGTTAGAATGAATCCTAGCCGTTAGGTATCTCATCCATACCTATTATGGATGAAAATTCCTTAAAGGTCTAAAAAACAAACCTTGTCATTCCATTTCATGTGCATCAAGTATGAAAAAATTGTCAATTCTTCGTAGGTTTCAGATGCAACAGGGTCGATGAAGTTGACCAAGGTGTCAGAGAAAAGTCCATTTGCCAAGGACTTGCTGGTACGTGATGACTGCTTTATCCTGGACAATGGGGCTAATGGAAAAATCTTTGTTTGGAAAGGTAAGAAAATTGTGCATGTTTATCCTAATAACTTAGAATGCAGCTAAAATAGTTTAGTTTGGCCTGTATGTGTCTGGTAAATGAACCTTTTTTTTAAAGAAATTAATACCTTTTATTCAGCACAGATGCTTTCAATTGATCAAGAGTGACAGTAAAAAAACTTCTACCTTGTTACAAAAAAAATCTAGTTTGTTTGAACTTTCTATTCATCAAAGAATTCTCAAAAAAGTCTCACAGTTTTCACAAAAATGAATAAAGAAATAAATAAAGCTGCACAACTGTTTTCAACAATAAATGTTTCTTGAGTACCAAATCATCATATTGAATTGATTTCTGAAGGCTCATGTGACACTGAAGACTGGAGTAATGGCTACTGAAAATGTAGCTATGCAATCACAGGGATAAATTGCATTTTAAATATTACAGTAGAAAACGGTTATTTTAAATTGTAGTAATATTTCACAGTAGTACTGCTTTTACTGTATTTTGATCAAATAAATGCAGCCTTGGTGAGCAAAAAAAAAAAAAAATTTTTTAAATACCGTGAAAAAATATTCACTTTTATGGTACTTATTTTATCATTTTTGTAGCTTGATCACTGATTTCATTCTCTAGAAAAGAGCAGCATGAACATTCTTCTAAACAGCTTCTTTTGTGTTCCACGAAAAAAAAAATAAACATACAGATTTGGAACAACATTACAGATCTTCTTTATGCACCAAGAGCTTGTAACACTCCAAAGAGAAAGGAAAAATTTTAATCGCATCATATGACCCCTTTAAAGGAACTGTCATGAAATGCATATCATGCAGGAACTTACTTTATTGGCTTTTCGGGAATTTAAGGTGAGCAAAAATTGCTCAGTTCAGTGGATCAAACGATCATACTTTTAAGTCTCTCACATGTGGATAGCATTCATTTTTTGATAGTTATACAACCTGTTTACAGTCATATAACCATCCATGTTTTATACTGGCTACTAAAGCCATGCAGAGGAAGGATGCTCACACAAATGTGAGGTCTTTTGAGTATTATGCAAAAGGTTAATCTGATGAACAACTCCACATACAATCTGTTAGTGAGTGTTCAGTGAATCAGTAAATGCACATGTAGCATGATAGTTCATGCATGATATGCAGTGTGTGAGTGTATTCACTCTCCTTTTTTGGCAACATGCCACTTTGACTACTCTCTGAATCGTTGCCGGGAAAGACTTTATCTCATCACGTAGCTTTTCTTGCTCTCCACCTCATACAGTCATGACAGTAATAATTCAGGTCCAAAGTTCAGACTATGCAGGCAATGAACTAAAACTAGGGATGAGAGAGCGCCAACGTTCAGTTTCACCAGACACCCTCAGCGTTCACTTGCCTCCCCAACACTTCATCATGGGTAAGTCTCATTTGAGTGTCATGCATAGCTTTTATCATGATGTCAATTACAAGGTGCCATTACTAAGAAATTAATATTGTTAACTGCTTTGATAGAAGTATTGTGATTATTACATTTATGCATTTGGCGGACACTTTCATCCAAAGCAACTTATTTTGCATTCAAGCTATTTATGAGTTCATGCATTCCTTGGGAATCAAGCCCATTATGTTATCAACAGGAGTAATTATAATAATGATTATTGTTATTGTATTATTATTATTATGCTTTTCATCATCATCCAGATTTAGTGATTTTTAGTAAAACATAACACTATTATTAAGTTAATTTGCATTGATAATATAAATACATCCCTCTAAAAAAAAGTTATAACTTTTAAAAAATATCTCTTGTATAGGTGAACAGGCAAAGACTGTGAAGAGCATCCTGAAGGACAACAGTATGGCTCTTATACATGTTCTCTTTCTATTTCTTAATATTACACAAGTAGAGCTGTCTGTAGTGCATGCTTGTGTTTCTGTTTAACTGTAACACATTACATTCATTTCAAACTGGAACCACAGTCATACGAAACTAATTAAGTCTGAATCCTTCCATCTTTCTTTTCCTCTGCCCGCAGTGCTCCAGAAGCAGAGTAACTCTGTTGGGGTCGTGCGCTGGACACTATCAGAGAAAGATATTCAGGTCCACAGTTCTGCCCCCACCAGCCCCTTCAAGAACATTAGTGGATTTTCTACCCGTTCACAGGTAATACTAAATCACTCACGGATGTTATGTGGTAGATCAATGTTCAGCTATGACCACAATGACACGTACACCACACTCTTGGTTATTATTTTGTGTTTGTTTCCAGCAAAGGCAACGTCAGCAAGGTCTGAAAGATCTCCGGAGCTTGGATGAGTGCATCAGATTCATAAACCACTGGAAGCAACAGGTGGCACAAGTCTGCAAGGTAGACCATGGATTATTTTACTATTTTACCAGTATACTATTCTTAAAAAAATTTATTAAAAAAGTCTATTATTGCCAAAAAATACAGAAAACAAGTAATGACAAGAAAAAGAGTAATTAAATATAACAATAACAAATAACAATAAAATAGTATTAAAATAATTATTTTAAAATTGTAATAGCATTAAAATAATATAAAAAAACTGTTTGTGTGTGTGTGTATGTGTGTGTATATATATATATATATATATACAGTATATATACGGACAGATGTGTTTAACAGCTTAAGTAATGGTTTCTTGGAAACTCCTCTTCGCGTGCAAACTCAGTGGCAATCAATGATTTTTTATTATCCATGATATCATATGATAAGTGTTGCCATGTGAGAACTGTATGATGCTAGATGATTCGTTTATGTTTGCCCAGGGTAACCGATAACACCTATATCAATAACCTAGCAATTCTGCATGTGATATTCTGGGTCTTGTCTCACACTATGTATGTGGTGAACAGTTTTCAGATAATATTTCAGTTATTTATTTCCATTTTATATAACAACATCAAAGAAAGTTATTTAATATTGTCTGTAATATCATACTTATTTATTTTAATTTTTTCAAATACAGTCTCAATGGGTCTACATGAATATGGCTGTTTTTAAGTATCAGAGAGAGGGGCCTTGCTGGATACGAGCACTGGAAGTATTCGATAAACATTTTGTCTCTGACATCAAGAACAAAAATTGCATCAGGGAGATTGCAAAGGAAGAAAGATTTTAGGGCTACACTGATTTTAGACCGATAGTGATAAGCCAAAGTTTGTAGTCATGTTATGGTCAATAACCGATAAACAGACAATATGAAAACAATATCTTTACTATTTTGTTTAAATAAACAAATGATAAATCACTAAGAACTAAAATCATTTTAAATGCCACAAGTAAATTTAGGTATCACAACATTATAATGTACAGTATGAAAAATGGATATTCATTTTAAAATTAGCTAAAAAATTACATTTGACAGTGTAATTAAATTTTCAGTGTTCTTAAAGATTTAAAGAAGTGAGCATTAGTTGACGGCAAATGTAAAAATACGGGAAGTGAGCATGCACAATTAAATATCCAAAATCAACTGATAACAAACATCTAAAATCGTCTGATAACCGTATTTGCTATATATATCACACATCCATAAATGTGTGTCTGTGATTTACAGAATGAGGATGATCCTGGTGAAGGGTGCAGCAGGCAGGCAGAGCGTCAGACAGACCCCAGAACTGAGCGCAGTCTTGAAGAGAGTCGCAAGCTTATTGTGCAGTGGGCCAGTGAACTTCAAAGTGTAGACAAGGTGAAATTTACTATACTTAAAAAAAGACAAACATCTCAATCATACTGTTCTGTTCATCATGGCTTGCTCAAACTAAGCTTTCTTTGTGCCTGTGTGAACCCAGCTGTCTGAAAAGCAGCCGTGGATAAAGGAGAGGATTGATCAAGAGGAGGAAGAGGACGCAAAGAAGGATAAAGATCAGAGTGAGGTGGTACAGAAGAGTATCACGCAGTGGGCCAAAGAGATACAGAGTGTGTCAGAGGTGGGACAGCATGCATATCTATATGATCAGGTCTCTTATCTGTTGTCACAGACACATTAAGTTGTCCTAAGTCCAGTCATGGTTTTCTGCTTTCGTGGAATTAGTTAATCTTTCAAAGTGTCCACTTGTAAAATGGTACTTTAATATACTGTGCATGTACATTTAACTAGCCTAATGGATAAGATAATCAGAAGTGATTATCAAAAGTATGTTATATTTGTTCTTTCTGTCGAAATGCAGAGCTCTGGAATGTTGGGAGATGAACTGGCACGGCTGTTGCGTCTCCTGGGACTGAAGAAGAAGAAGCTGGTTTCCCTCATGCCACTGCTGGAGTTCATCACCTGGAGTTTGCTGAAAGAAGACAGCAAGGTTGGATGGCTATGAATGCACTTCTGTCACTATTTGTGCTTGGGACATGGTGTAGTGTAATATTGGGATTTTTTTGGAAAGTGCTGCCATTTTAATGAGGAAATGGCGATTATATAAATGAAAAACCAGAGATTAATATTTTGTCAATATTGCAGCACTTAATCTTATTAGGGAAACAAACAATAACACTGATTCACAAATAAACAATAGTTCCATTCCTGTGATAGAATATGTAATATATGTTATATTTTCTTATCAGGGGCAAGTGTGAGGCTATAAAAATAAATAGCTTTAGGAATAGTGCTGATAAATGTACGGAATTGAAAAAATGAATTCATTCTGGTTGTTTAACGAGCAAAGTGCAAGTGAGCAGCATTGGTTTACAGCAGGTTGACCAGTTATTACCATCTTTGATGTTTAAGCATTTGCATTTGAGAGAATTTATTATGTACTGTACAAACAGTGACAGAAAAACATATCAAATTGTTTGTTTAAAAGTGATGAAAAATGTAATGATGATTTTAAAATCATAAATTAGTTGAATTACGGTTTGATCAGTGTGTTATCTGTGTGAATAACGTTTGGCAACAGGTCCACTTATTTGATTTGCAACTTCAAACAACAAAGTCTGTAAATACATCATGTATCATGTCATTTCAATCCTAATGTACAGGATAAGAGATGTAGGGTGTCTCATAGGATCCCTTTATTAAAATTGCTTGCTGCTAATTCATGTGTTTTATATTTATTTTAGGGCATGGTTCCTCATCTATGGCTTGCAGCTAAGCAACGCACCTGGAAAGCTGGTGAGGGATCCGAAATCTAACCTTAAATGAATAAAGCTGAAAAGTACACCAATGAATATTAATATTAATTTTGTAACTTTTTTTTCTTGGTTCTTTTTTGTTTTCAAACAGGCATGCCACGATACATCCCTAATTCAGGTAACTATAACTTTTATCAGACCCCATGGAGCACATTTGAGATATTTAAAAATGATAGCATTTCTATGACTTGCCAAAGGAGGAAAAAAATATTGAGATTCATTACGCTCAAAAGAAAGAAAGATGACAAATTTGAGTTTAATAGTTGAAATTTAATGCAAGGTAAAATAAAACAAAGTACAGTGTTATAAATGTACATTAATTTTTAAAAAATGTAAATATGAAAAACTTTGCTAGATTTATGATGTTAATAACTGTGGGAATGTGTTATCAGTCTGTAAAAATGGTCCATAGGTACAATTTGCCATGGGAGTGTATTGGTCTAGCTGTCATTATGATTAAGTTTCTT